CAAAGGCCCTACCGTATCTAAGCCTACAATCATATGGTGGATTGTAGATGCTGACCGCAATGACAGCTTTCCAGGGTCGACAAGTAGGGTAAACTTCAGAATTAGTGGAGCGGGGTCCTTGGCTCTCCACCAGGATACAACGACTTCACAGTTTGCGTTACTTCTAGAAGCCAAATTTCAGGGACACCCAGCACATGGCCCAATATCATGATGGTGACAGATGGAGCTCCCACTCAGTTTCCACGTCCCACTGACTCAAAAGCCCTTCAGTACTACCTCTAGATCTTACATCTTTGTTTGTCCTTGGTATGGAGTTAGCTATCACAAGCTATGTCCGGGTTGCTATCCCAAACAAGGTGGTCCAGTATCGGAACGTTACCCCAAACGTCGTGTCAGGTATGGTCTGCAACGTCGGTGACGCATCCATGCTGACATTCACCTAGCTTCATAAGCTTGCACCTAAAACAAATCGATTAGTCGACAATTATCTAAAGGCACTCCACTTTCTGACTGTGCATCTGTGGCGGCTGGTGATGCACGTATGCACCGCTGCTATCTTTTCGTCTGAAACCACGAAAGGAACCCCGCAGGTGACCTACAGTTGTCTAATATTTCTGTTCAGCGATTGCTCGTATGAGGAGCTGTTCCTTTCTCGTTTCATATGTTTGGGCACCTCGACACTGATGATAACGTAAAGACTGGTGCACGAACTCGAGTAACTCAGCGTATACCGCGTGGCACGAGAACAAGGAATGAGGGTTTGTAGGCCAGGTGCCAGGAAGAGTAAGGTGAGAGGGCACGGTTGCCGCTTTTCTTCCCTACGTGCGCGCTTTGAACTCGTGGGTTTGGCCGGGAAATGGGAGACTACACCTTTCCTATTTACGAGACGAAGCCGGAATATAATTGCACTTGAGACAACAATGTTATCAGATGGTCGGTAGGGCACATAAGTGACTTGAGCAATTCATCTCGTATGTTAGACATGTTCGTGGCTAACTTTTATTAAGGATTAACTTCTGCCGAACGTAATCTTTTATGACCTGATGACAACGTTGCATGGGAAGGGCGGAGTCGACCTACTTGATGCCATTTCTTGTCTTATGCTTGACAAATGTGAATGTCATCAACATCCGTACCTCATATGTAACTAATTAATTTGTAATCAAGCAATTGTGTCTAGTAATGGTATTTGATGGTTCCTAATGACGACGTCCTATAAATTAGATAATCTCAAACATTGTACATTTCTCACCAAGGTGCATTCAGTGAGAGGAAATGATATTAAGCAACAGCTCTTTCAAAGCCGCTCCGTCATTTTTCATACGCCTCAGTCGTTCTCTATCTCGCAGCCATCGCGTCTTTCTGTCGAAGATAGTGCTTGTGCTTTGGCTGTGAAGACGATTGTCCGTTTATACTTATTAGTGTATGAGCAACAATTGGTACAGGGTTGGATTACACCTCTAACTGATTTGACATATTTAACACATAGATTTCGCAGTACATTTGAGAACTGAGAATGATGAAAATATTTTCATCCAGCGTAACGGAAATAAAAAAATTGATCAACTTATTCTTCCTGAAGATAGCCAGCCATATACTGTATTCCGCCATCTGTGAGACAATAGCATCCAAACACCATGCCTCTTTTCAGGGTAGATTCTTAAATTCATTTCTGGGTTTCCTCCTGTTTGATAGATGGCGCTATTGTCTTTCAGATACGTTTCGGCCGGAGTACAGCATAGTAAGGAATGCATATGTTTATACTACTTTCCTAAATGGCCGAAAGGATCTGGTACAGAAATATATTGTAATCTGGAATAGCACATAGGCTACTTTTTATCTCGATAAATAATTTTGAAATATTTATTTCATGGTCCTAAACGGCTTAATGGAATTTGGCATCTGACGCGGAAGCCGTCAGTGGCTGGTCCGACCGAAATGAGTAAGGATATATGCATCAAATCTTTTGGCAAAGCGTACTCTGGTCTCTGGTCTATAGGTAAAAATCTGGTTGTCCTGTGTTATGGTTAATAGCTATATATATATATATATAACAATTTGGACTAAGAACGCCCTAATAATGACCGGAAACTAACACAGAACCATTAACTAAACCAGCGAAGGCTTTCTATCATACAGGGAAAGGATTTAAGCTCTTGAAGGACTACAGACATCGTAAAATGTTGATGTTCCGGCCCTGCCTAGGGGCCATTATACATTTCCACTTATTAATACCAAGGCGCATTGCACACAAAATACAAATCATAACCGCCTGCTCTTTTACCAACCATAATTATAGTAATTACAAGTTAACCAAATGGGCACTACATCGCACAACTCCAGGACGCACCATCCGAAAACCAGTGGCAACATAAAGGCTGCAGCTATGTTGCTATATGATGAATTTTTAATGACATTCAAATAATCTTAACGCCATCACCATTAGCTTTGATAAAGATTTCCTTCTCATGGCCTACGTGATATATTATGTGTTGTTCGTTATAATATAAAGCCTTTGTGTACCATCGCTGTATACAGTAGCCCAGCTGTACGTCTGACACTACCACTACCAGTATTCAATTAAAAAAATGGGTAGAAGATCATAAGAGATTATGTAACATCTGAAATGTATCTTGTGGTTTTCATGTCGATGTGCTTGCTTGGCCAATCTCCTCTGCCATTCCGAAAACGCTAAAGCATTGCAAAAAACGCAAGAATCCAAACCCAACCAGGCAACAGTTCTAAATGGCTTTATGTTCGACACGATTAAAAAAAGAGTGAACTGCGTTAATGTACAACAAAGGAATTCATTAAATCAGGTCAGTCAAGTACAACCATACAATTATTCTTTACTATGAAAATAAAGATTCAGCTTCTACGCCATCTATTATTACATTTACACATGCCACATCTGCTTTGCACAACAAGATCTAATGCCTCGCGATTTTCACCATAGGTTAATGTTTTGCAGGTAGCTGATTCACACTATGGCACACAGTAATGATTTTGTACCAAATACTTTACGAACGAGACAATTTTTCACGAGATGTTAATACGAACTTTCACAATATCCAATGTCCTACGAAAATTTTCATGTTGTTACAGAAACTTATATTAAGCAACAATTTTCACTGAACGGTTGTGTAGGTATTAGTTACTACCTAATTGTCTCGTTTTTTCACAAGCAAGATTTGCACGGACTTTTTGGCCAGCTCGCTGTCCTGATATGCATCCCCTTGATTTCTATTTGTAGGGTCATCTAAAGGCTATTGTTTATAAAACTCCTGTACTAGGTGGAATGACCCGAAGAATCGGATAATTGACAATTGTAATGTCATAAGGAACACGCCCGGTCCATTTGAGTGACAAATGGATTGTAGTCGTGGATCTGTGTAAGGTGGTCATTTTGCTCATTTTTAGGTTGACATTGCTTGTTTTTAACTTTTGGTTATTTTATGTTGTCCATAGACAGCTTTCAGAATAGGTTTAAGTGATTTTTATTTCTTTTTTCTCGAAGTGACATGAAAATTACAAAAAAATAACAATAATAAGGCTGTGGTGCCTACAGAGATGCCCCACAAGGCCTAACAATTTCAATCTAGTCTGAGCTACATAAGCGCCTCGTTACTTCAAATAATTGAACCAAATTTCAACCAAATCGATTGATTCAATGATATTTATGATATAAATACCATTTTTTTGTTCAACGCTGTATCCCAGAAAAGAAAAAACCCCGGACATATGTATGTCTATGAAAACACTTTTTCTTAAAACGAAGTAACGAACCACCCTCCGAAGTTTTTTACCGTAGTTAAAAAACACCCAATATTTTAGGAATCATCTCGCTGGAGAGCCTTAGACTTTATAATGTTACCATATGAATATTGAAAAATATTCGACAGCGGAATCATAAAATAATTCTTAGTTTCCATGGAATTTTGAGGGCTACTTTAGCACTGACATGCTCTCAGACGACTTAGTTTTCCTTTTGTTGCTGTCTATCCATAAGAGGTTGAGTGCACTGGAATAGTTAAAAAGTAGCTAACGTGCACTTGCCATTTACTTTTTTCGTAGTGCATTTCGCTCCATCTACTATCCACAATTAGCTTGACCCAGAAATGTAGCCGAGGCTAATTATTATATTCCTCGCTGCTGAGAGAATATGAGAGCTCGCATTATTTTGATGAAGAATGATCCAACGGTGCATGTTGACTTTTCTTATTTCACCAAAATAACAAATATCCTCTCAACGCATGGTAGAAGGATGAGGATTATTTCGATGGGGAACCTTATCACTTCTCAAGTTTGTCGAAATTTTATCTCGAACGCTATTGACATATGAACATGGCTGAGAGGTACTTTGCGGACAGGGCGCGTCAGCAGAGAACTAATTTTACGACAGGGCTGGATCGAGGAAGTTATGTGCACATACATATAAATGTGAACAGTTTTTCGAACAGTCATGAAACCTCGAAAAGTATTTAGCCCATGAGCGGTAATTTTCGCAGAGAGGAAGTTTGTGCATTAAGCATCAGCTAAGAACAGATTTTGAAACTGGTCCGGAATGAGACTATGTGTAAAAAAGAAGTGATACACATTAAGCACATATTATGATTACCTATGAATCTGTGACCTAAGGGCAAATATATATATATATATATATACATGCACAGCTAACCTTCTCGCCTCCACATACGAAACAGGCACCCTGGCCTCCGGCTGAAATACTACATATCTCAGTGTATATTGGTTACAGAAAGATTCCCGTCCATTGTTTTTCTCATTTCCCCCTGAGAGGGGTAAAAATATGTCTTTTTTAAATTATACAGATTTTCGCTATACTTTTAAATGTAAGATGCCTCCGACCACTTATTTGCTAATATACCTCCGTTTGTATATAGTTTGCTATGTTGGTTGACTAATCAGCCTCCCGCGGCGTTGCCGGTTCTTTAATAGTAAAAATTGCTGACCTTGAGCTATTTTTAGAATCCTGAAAATATTATTTGACAATGCTTAAATAGTTTCAGATCTTCGGTGTCGTGTTAGTCTAGTTAACGTGCTCAGAGTGTGTGTGTGTGTATTGGCTTTTGTTTCGGTCTCCAGTTCCACAATACAAAAATGAATATGTAAGTGATAATGATTTTAGTTTAAGAAATAATATAATAATTCTGCATTTTATTATAGCCCAACATACAGAGCTAGAAAAATTCTAAACAGCTTAGATAATACAAGGAAAAAAGAGGATAAAGGTGATTATTTATTCCATGTCTATTGAATTAGGTGATCAAATTGAATACTAACTTAATTTATTGATTTATGAAAAATTCAAAAAAAAATCACATTTTTAATGTATTATTTAGTTAATTCAAACAATAGTCTGGAGTCGTTTAATGGAAATATATTTGTTAGGTTATGGTTTTGAATAATTTTATTTTCGATTTAATGATTTTCCAGAAGATGAATATGAATATGAAAGTAGTCCCGCTCCATCGATTTCTGGTGATATGTCGTTCCTCGATTTCGATTCCGATGACTCGATGAAGGATCCCACATTTAAACCAGAAGTTAAAGATAAGCAAACGACATTTTTCGATCTTCAAAAAACTGAGGTTTGACTTTTTTCTACTTCATTATAACTCTTGAAGATAATTCAGTTTTTTAACTATTGTATTCATAAACATATTCTAGGATGTATTGACAATAGAGAAAAATAATGAAAAAGAGTTAGAAAAAAAGGAAGTTAAAAAGAAAGAAGAACAAAATAACGCTGCAGTGGAAGAAATTATGAGATCGGATATCGTTTCCACTGTAAGTAGCAGAAATTTTTATTTCATTTTTCCAATTAAAATACAGATAGAAGTATATTTACAGTGCGTTCCATTTAAAAGGAGCCTCCCGATATATCTGCATTAAAAATGAATTTCCGAAAAAAATCGGCGGGGAAGTATTGTAATCGCGAACAAAATCGAAATTGAGATGTTATGTTTTTTGGAGGTCACATGACATGTACATCACGAAAAACCATGTCACTCATTTCCGTCAGTCTGTCTGTCTGTCGCTCTGTCTGTCTGTCGCTCTGTCTGTCTGTCTGTCTGTCTGTCTGTCTGCTAATCCTATAAGCCCGTATAAGTTGGAAAGTACCAGTCGGATTTTGAAGAAATTTTTACACAAGGTTACTATTATGCCAAGGACGTAAAAGCTTTATAATTTTTGAAATCGATCCAGTGGCGGCGGTGCTGGAGGTAAAAAACGAAAAAAATAAATAAAAAAAGCTCAAATCTCGTTTCTGGACGTTTCAGACGTCCCTGATCATTTTTGAATTTTTTTTGTAGGGGTTGAAAATTGGGGGTTGGGGCAGTAGGGGGGCGGGGGCGGGTATGATTCAATTTTTTGACGCTTTTATTTTAAAGGTATCCTAACACAGTAATTCACCGCTACAATTAGGATATATTTCGCAATGAGATTTCTCCGTACATTTGTTCGAAAAAATGGCGTCAAGTAAATTGATTTGGCACTTCCCTCGCAACGCCAAGATTAAAGACCTTGGAAATTTAGGAACTGAAATATTGTCTTTCTAACAAATGTACGGAGAAATCTAAGTGTGGAATATATACAAATAGCTGCGTTGAATTACTGCTTTAGGATACGTACTAACGTCAAAAAACTGAATAAAACCCTCCCCCCACCTTCTACCGCCTTCTACCACCCCCAACCCCCAATTTTAGACCCCTACAAAAAAATATCAAAAATCAGGAGCCTCTGAAACGTCCAAAAACGAAGTTTGAGCGATTTTGATTTTTTTACGTTTTTTGCCTCTAGCACCGCCGCCACTGGATAACTTTTCAAAAACTATAAATGTTTTTTGTCCTTGACATAATAGTAACCTTGTGTCTTGTAATAATTTCAAAATTTAAACAGAAAATATGGATTTTTTTTTTAGAATCTGAAAATATCTGAAATTTTTTGAATAAATGTACGGAGAAATCTGATTGCGAAATAAATCCTAATTGTAGCAGTGAATTACTGTGTTAGGATACGTATAAAAATAATAGCGTCCAAAAATTGAATCATACCCGCCCCCGCCCCCTGCTGCCCCCAACTCCCAATTTTCAACCCCTACAAAAAAATTCCAAAAATGATCAGGGACGTCTGAAACGTCCAGAAACGAAATTTGAGCTTTTTTATTTTTTTTTTCGTTTTTTACCTCTAGCACCGCCGCCACTGGATCGATTTTCAAAAAGTATAAAGCTTTTACGTCCTTGGCATAATAGTAACCTTGTGTAAAAATTTCATCAAAATCCGACTGGTACTTTCCAACTTATACGGGCTTATAGGATTAGCGGACAGACAGACAGACAGACTGACGGAAATGAGTGACATGGTTTTTCGTGATGTACATGTCATGTGATATCCAAAAAACATAACATCTCAATTTCGATTTTTTTCGCGATTACAATACTTTCCCGCCAGTTGGCGAGGGAAGTAAAACAGAATAATTTCAGATATATTCAGATTCTAAAAAAAAAAATCCAAATTTTCTGTTTAAATTTCCAAATTATTACAAGACACAAGGTTACTATTATGTCAAGGACGGAAAACCTTTATAGTTTTTGAATAGTTATCCAGTGGCGGCGGTGCTAGAAGCAAAAAACAAAAAAAATTAAAATCGCTCAAACTTCGTTTTTGGACGTTTCAGAGGTTCCTGATTTTTAAAATTTTTTGTAGGGGTCAAAAATTGGGGGTTGGGGGTGGCAGAAGGCGGTAGAGGGTGGGGGGAGGGTTTTGTTCAGTTTTTTGACGTTAGTACGTATCCTAAAGCAGTAATTCAATGCTTAGATTTCTCCGTACATTTTGTTGGAAAGACAATATTTCAGTTCTTAAATTTCCAAAGTCTTTAAACTTGGCGGTGCGAGGGAAGTGCCAAGTCAATTTACTTGACGCCATTTTTTAGACAAGTGAAACGTTTCGTATTTTTTCTTTTTGGTAATAAACAGATTCTCTAAAAATGATTTTACCCTTTTATGATGCAAATTTTCAGTTAAATACTGTATATCTGTATTTGATGGAAACTTACTAATATTTTTTTCAGGATGAACAGCTAAATGAAAAGTCCCCTAAAATTGTTATCCTGAGTAACATTGATGTGTCCAATTTCAATCAAATATCGGAGACTCAAACTAAAGTAAGTTCAACCATAAAAACTTCACTTGGAAATAATCATATACAAAATATTACTGCGGATATTTTATTAACTTGATAATCAAATCTTTAATTCTAGAGTAAAATATTTTGCTAGACGTTTTCTTACTTTGTGGGAATATAATATTTATAAGCTTTGAAATTCTAGACTAATATTTTTAACTTTACCTTGAGTCACCTATTATTCCTAAAGGCATGATTAAATTATTTTGTCAGTCTCAAATTAGCACCATTGTATCGTTGTTTCTAGTAAATAACTGCTGGTCATCAAAAATCTTTGACAAGATTCTCACTGTCAGAAAATATAAAAAATTTATCAGTCATAAAATATTGTAGCTAAAAAAGCCAGGCCAGCTCATTTTTTAAATCAAGATATCACCGAAAATGCCAAGCCTCTCCCTCAAACTTGTATTGTTTCATTATCAATTTCTATCAGCATTTTTGCAGAAATTTAAAAAATCAATTTTTTTTTACATTTTTCAGACAACAACGAAAAAAAAGAGAACAAAGTGTAAGTTTTGTCAGACAGATGTAACAAATTTTGAGAGGCATCTTGAGCGGAACCACGATGATACTAAAGAGGTACAAGATATGATGTCTTTTCCAAAAAGCCATCCTGAAAGGAAAAAAATTCTAAGTTTGTTGAGAAATGCAGCAAATTTTACAGAGTATCTTAAAGGCAATGTACAGCCTAAGTATCATTATAAGACAGAATCTAAAGAATATTACCCATGTTCACGCTGCAAAGCAATGCTGTCTAAATCGTATTTGTCACGTCATAAAAAAAACTGCATACTGAAACACACGAATAATAATGAAATTCGTAAGATGAATTCACTAGCAGCATCACAAACATTAATAGCTAGTTCTTTTGATGATAATAGTAACTTGCACAAACTGAGAGTAAAAGAGGAAGTCTTTGACCGAATGAAACCTGATTATATCTCCTTGGTTGCGAAATCCGACTACCTAATTTATAACTTTGGAGAAAACTATCTCAAAAAACACAGAAGAGAACAACTCGTTACAGTTTGTTCCAATAAAATGAGAGAATTGGCACGGTTTCTGATACAATTCAGAAAAATGACAAATAACTCAAAATTCAGGCTACAAGACGTTTTTAAACCAAAATTGTTTGATATGACAGTCGAATGCGCAAAACATGTAGGGGGATATGAAAAATATTCTAAGACATATCGTGCACCTAGCCTACCTGCACATCTGGGAACTTCATTAAAACAAGTTTGTGAACTTTTCACAAGACTGGTCCTGAAAGAGGATGAAGCTTTAAGAATCTCTGATAAAGAAGAGGCATTAAGAGATATAAACAGATTTCGAGAACTCATAAATACACAGTGGACCACGGAAATCAGTAGCTTAGCATTTAAAGACCTTAATGAAAAACAATGGGAGAAACCAGCAATGTTACCTTTAACTCGGGACATAACGAAATTCAAAGACTACGTTACCAATGTGGCAAATAAAGCAATGACCTGTCTAACACTCAATCCAACTGATAGGAAAGAAATGAAAAAGTTGATTCAGGCTTCTCTTATTTTAACGATATTATTTAACAGAAAAAGAATAGGCGACGTTCAATACACAAAATTAAGTACATACATCAACTACTGGAAACCGGTTAACCAAGAGGAGTGTGAAAAAGCATTGTCTCAGTCAGAAAAAATACTAACAAAATATTATAAACGCATTGTGACAGGTGGAAAAGGTAGTAGACCCATAGCTATTCTATTCCCTCAAACATTACAAACCTATATAGATTTCTTTGTTAAAATCCGCCAAGAACATCACTTAGTACCCGAAAATAATCCATATTTATTTGGGTGTCCTGGAACTTCGAAGTGGACAAGAGGGGATGTTATTATACGGAAATTTGCCCAAGAAGCTGATCTAGAATTTCCCAAACAAATATCTTCTAACAGATTACGGAAGCAAATTGCAACGGTAATGCAAATTCTTAACCTTAGTAAGGAAGAGAGTGAACAATTCGCCCACTTCATGGGACATACTGAAAAAACCCACAATGAATTTTATAAGTAAGTTCTCCCTACAATAAATTACGGCATACATTCATTTGAAATTCAAGTTTTCGTTATTGTAAAAATGCCCTGAAGAAATATTACGCAGTTACTTTTATTTTAGAGTAAAAGGATGTCAGTAGAAATGTGTTCAAATAGGGACCCTATTTTTGATTAGCATCTGAAATTCTAAGTTACATTCCCGATTTTCAAATGATTTTGAGAAAATGGTGTCGAATTATTCACAATTTTTAACTTTGTGATCTTGTGGCGTTTAAAAAGATCAAGTCAAAGTACTTCCACTTTTTTCTTAACATCCAACAATACTTATTCTGAATTTCACCTGGTGGTCAGCTTTTTCCTACTATTTATGACTAATGGTATCGGATAGGTAATGGATCTTGCTATAAGAAAGTGGCAACCATTTTGATCTAACTTGATTAGTCTAAATATATCAATGCGTTAAAGTATCAAATTCAGACGCCCATTTCTCGATAACAATTGAAGATCGGCATAGGATTCACTTTGAATTGAAAAAACCGACAATGAAAAAAATTTTATTTGATGTCATGATTTTTATCTCAGATGTAACAAACTTTACTTATGCTTAATAAATTGACGTTTCCTTTTTCCTGGATCAAGACCAATATGAATTTCAAATGAATATATACAGGATGTCGCTAAATTAGTATTTAAAAGTTTACCTACAAATAAATCAGAAAATATGTAGTTGAAAAATTTCCTCTGGACCAATTTTAAAAGTAATACATTGAGAAATGTTTATAAAATTCAAAAAAATTCGAATTTCAATTTTCAACTTTACCATTCTCTATCTTGGAAACTAAACATTTCCGGGTCCATTGTTCATAGGAGATGTTTTAACTATTTTTTGAAGTTCGATTTGTGTTTGAAATTTTGAGTAACAATTTAGTGACACTCTGCATATTTTTCACTCTTTAAGTACTTTGTTTTCTAGGCTGCCACAAGATGTGTACCAAACCGCAAAAATTTCCAAACTCCTAATGTTAATGGAAAAGGGCGTTGACAAGTATAAAGGAAAGTCGCTAAATGAAATTAATATTAATCCAATGAGTGAATTTGCTGAAGAAGAATCAGATAATGAAGATAACGATTTCCTAGATGCAAATGAATCTGACTGTACGGCATTTCAAGGTAATCAGTGAAAAGTCAAAAAGTGATCAGTAAATATGGCTGTTTCTGCAAAGCTTAAATGTATGCGGCAAAACGTATCAATTGATAAAAATAAAATTGCAGCTATTTTAGTAATTTAATTCTCTTTCCGCGTAGATCTTATAAAAATATTTATTATCGATAGTATGAAATTATTAATAAGTATTTCTATTAATAATAATAATAATAATAATAATAATAATAATAATAATAATAATAATAATAATAATAATAACAGGACTTTATTTGTAATTATATTACAAATCGGCGAAGTTTAGCCATATATTGCTATTCTACTTAACCTTAACAAAAATACTATATTCATGCCCCTTTTGGCCAAAGCAATTTCTGATCGTTCTACTGAAGAAAAGCAATGCAAGTTTATATACCCTTTGACTCATTTAGTCAGTGTATTTAAACGTCCTTGATGTAAATCGTACGTATAACTTTTAATAGTAATATTGAATATCAATTTATTAAACGCAGAGCCATTCTCAAGCTGTTGAAAACTTTCAGAATAAAAAAACATGTTTTTTTAATATCGCATATCAAGTACCAATTAGTACATGGATAGGAAAGAAAAAATGTTTCAAGAGTTTAGTACAACGAACATTCACTCTAGAAACGACACTAATTACCTCTTATTAGATTTTTTGCTTTTAAAATACAATTCGATTCAAACACTAAATGACCATCCCTCCCATCTATTAGAATAACAGAATGTTGATATTTATTAATAACTTACTTTAAGCAATCCCGGAAGAAGAAAGTCGACCAGTATCGAAGAAGAAAATATCAGGGAGGACATTCTGGACTTCTGAACAGGCTCTTCTAGTGAAAAAACATTTCAAGTCCCACATTAGCACAAAAAAGGCCCCCAAAAAGAATGAATGCATGCAGTTAATAGGAAAGTATCCCGAGATATTCCATGACAAAGACTGGGTTCGCGTGAAAACTTTTGTCTATAATATCTATAGAAATAAGTGAAGCTTTGTTCAGTCAGTAGTATATATTTTTTTGAGCTTTGGTGAAATTTGAAAAATTCACAAATGTGAAATAAATTTGGAATTTGTATTAGACAGTTGAAAATTCGGATGTAAATAAAGAATTGAAAGACAAACAACTTTTTCCTTTAGCATTTCCCGAAATTTTGAGAAGAGAGTTGGGTTTTTGAGATTTGAACAAAGAATCCTCAATTTTGACTATGAAGAATGGTCACGTAATTGCTCATATGCATGTTATTTGGCATCATTTAGCAAAAACTAACCGCGAAATCAAATTCTTTCTAAATAGTTTAAGAAAAAAAAAATCCCATATGATTCTAACTTTATGTGTGACACTGTATCCGGCAATATAAAAATATTTGTTTTTCAAAGGTATCTTATACAGATCACTGGTTGCTCTGAGTTGTGTTTTAAGGATATGTAGAAAAATCTGTGAGCTGATATAAAAAAAGCTTCTATAAATGCAAGAGTACAAAGCGTCGAAGATTTTTATTATTATTTTGTCATTTTTTCACTGAATATACAGAAGCCATTCAATCTACTACAACAAATTCTGGTCCACTAAATTTTTCAAAATGTTGTCAAAGTTGTGTGTAAACTAGATAAATAGTTGAACTAAACAGTACATTTTTCTTGAAGACGTGCTTTTTCATCCACAGAGTTTGTGAATTTTAGAAGTAAATCTGACTACAAAAATTTAAGTTGTGTTGGAAATTTCTTTCAAACTACCAGTTCTTTGCGACGTCATTACATTTAAAAATAAAGAAATTCTTATTCAGAATTACATCATCTTGTATAATAAAGATTCGTTTTGAGATAATGTTCATTATGTCATCCAGTGTTTTATGTCACATTCTGACATCTATCTTATTTATAATTTTCAGACACTCGAAAAACTATTCTTTCCTTGCTAATTTTTTAGTTTGTGCAATTGTTTTTAAAACCTATAGGTTTTATGTTGTGAGGTACTGATCAAAAGATATTTGAGATATAAGCAATTGTATCGGTATTTATAAAATTCGGAACCAAAACCGTGAAGTTCTAGTTACCTGGATTTTGGAAAAAGCACAATTTCATTTCACCATTAAACAGAATAAATCAATTTATTTCAAAATGTTTCTTTAATAATGCAGAAACTTTGTTTAAAATATTAGGAAACTGTGCTTTCTCAAAATATTTTATTTTTGTTTATTTAAAAATAAATAAAATTTTTGTTTAGTTGTGCTTTTTTAATAATCCAAGTTAACAGAATTTCCACGATTCCGTTCTTATTTTCGTCTGATTATATTTGATAATATATGACAGTAAATGTTTCACATTCCCCTTGCTACTTTTTCTGCTGTACAAGCTGATGTTATTAGATTGTCAATCTGACGTTTCGTTTCACGGCAACCTTTTAATTCAAAATCCAACTACATATCGCTCTTTACATTTATTCGATATTTCGGATGAGAAAAACCATCATCAACGTCATTTGATTATAATTACGAATGAACGAATCGTCGGATCAAAAATCTAATTAAGTCATCATGTAGAGGGAAAAAGTCATGCGAATGTGAATTTTACTTTTATTTATCTTCTTTATTAGAATTTAAAAAAATCTATCACAAACTGCGAATTCTTGAACTGTCAAAACTAAATTTTCGCTTTCTTATACATATGAGACACCGAATATACATGAGTATATATAAACCGTCCAATTCAACTCCATGCCATTAGATCATCCAATTCGCCTCCATGTAATGTTGCCAAATTTCGGAGGCGCATTGACTGAAGAATGCATGGAGGTAAAGTGGTAAAGCCCACAATATGTCGTGTATAAGTGTATAAGACTTGAGTGCCATCTATTAAAAAATTCCTGAACTGAATTGTATAACTGTATATGTGCACATGACAAATTGGCCTCCACCGAAAAATTTGGGAAAATGTGTTTTGATACGTCACACGACGATTAAACATGTTATACACGTCGATACGTTTTGGCCTCCGAATTTTCCAATTCGCCTCCGATTTTGGAGGCGTATTCGTATAGAGCATAGTGCATTTCGGAGGTGTATAAGACAAAATGCATATATATATATATATATATTATTGTATCATGTATATATAATACAATTGGTACATTGGCAAACTTTTGACTCTTATCGTCAAAAGAGTCAACTAAAAGCTTGCCAATTTCTCAATTAAGAATTAATTGCATTTTTTGCCCAACTGGTCGTTGGCAATGGCAATATATATATATATATATATATATATAAGAGCGGATTCTCGGAAGCTGTTTAACCCATGAAGATGAGATTTGGCAGAGAGGTAGCCCACGATCAAGGACTGTCAGCTAAAAATAGATTTTGCAATAGGGCAAATTAAGGTATTTAAGGGCAGATGTATATAAAAGCGAAAAGATACATTAACCGCTAAATTTCGAAACCTGTGACCTACAATCATGACTATTGGCATGGAGGTAGCCCAGGAATAGGACATTTCAACGTAGAACGGACTGTGTGGCATTAAGGGCTTAAAGGGCACTAGCAAGTTTGTTTAAAATTGCTTGGAGTTTTCTGATATCTAAAAATTGACAAGAATGAGGTTCTGTTTAATTGATTTAAAATGCTGGTTTCAAAAAATTGGCAATGGTAATGTGTTAGCTTCTGGCCCCGCGACTTTACCCCCGCAACTTACCTATAGGTGCTCCATTACTAGGATAACAAATAGTCGGCTATCAATTTACTAATGCAATTATAGCAAAACTCAAAAGCAATGTTATATGTTAGTAACGATCTAACGCTTACGAAGCCGCGAGTAACAGCTAGTTGTATGTAGTCCTTTTCACAGTTTTTCACGTCACAATAACATACGAAATAAGCAAACATTTTGGCTAATGGTATGCGTAGCGTAACTGTCCTTATAGGACACTTTCTGTGAATACTTCTAATACAGACTGTTGACATTGTAGTTGTATATTAAGGCAATAGCCATGTTTCATATCGAAAATCAGCATGAGTAAACAAGCAAGTTGTCATACTGACTGTGTCACGCATACATGTGGATGACCCATATATTGACAATAATAGTGTTCATGCCGATGAAAAAAGCGTACGAGGTCTGTAAATTAAGTGACAGAAGTGATTTGTTCAATCTTTTATTCAAATATAATTTCAATTTTTAATTTTTACCCTCAAAATTACTTCCTTCTGAAGGCACACACCTCTGGAGACGGTTCTTCCACCCCTCATAGTAGTGCTGGAACTCCGGTTCCGGAATATAGCCTTTAGCCCAGTTATTCTTGAGTTGATAAAGGGTGGTGTGTGAATTCTGTCGGTTGTTTCATCGGTTCTTTAAGATCAACCCCCACCGTTCTGACAATGCCTTAAGCCAGGGAAACCACTAAATGACTCGTGCGAGATCGAACTTATACTGAAGTCGGGCGACATGTTCCCCTGACTCCCGTCCAAGCCAGATGCCTCCAGCGTTGTCAGATCGAACGCTTCGTTGCCAGTCTCATTACTTGATTTGCAGACCTGTCTTTGAATTCTCACAAACGACAGCGCATAGAGGCCTATTGCATTAATACTTATTTGTGGGAAAGACTGACGTACAAAATTAATTCATGTAGTCTGGGTGTGACCCGCCAAAAACCGTGATAAGACCTATACATAGAAAATGGTATTTAAATATCACAAAATTAACAGGCAATTTTTTTATACAGAGCATTCGAAAAGAATTCCACTAAAAACCTCAAAACTCGATTCAGGAGAACACCTGGGTTCCGTCTGAGGCTACTCTACTCATCTATAACATACAGTCTAAAAAACAGAACCTCATTCAAGCTACTTCTGGTTACTCAAAAATCTAGCTTTTCCTTGAAGTACGCCCTGCACTGCTTCTCTAGTCATAAGTGAAACATAGCGCATATACAGCAAATATGTCACATCGTCAGGTTTTTTTTTGTTATTTAACTTGTCACCCAGGTGCGGTTGTAGTGACGTTTTATATTTACGAGTATAAATGCTGGCTGAAGTGTCTGTTGAAAAGAAAAATACATATCAGAAGTGTGCGAATTAGAATAGTCGAGATCCTTGGTGAGGTCAGTACAGCATGTTAGGATAACCACTTACACACGCCAAGACGACATGCGATTAATCTTACCATGAAATTATGTGTAACTTTCCATGAGCCCCACGCTGTTGTAAAGGTACGTAATATGATTGATACATTCTTTATATTAGTTTATTTGTGCTCTTGCGCAAGTGTAGTATTAAAGAAGAAGACACTATTTACCACATACTGATACCTGACACCTAAAAATGGTAGAAAATGATTGAATTTAGTTTCGTAAGCCAGTCATTGACAAATATGGCGATACCAAACGTGGAGCCTTTACAATTTAATTGAATGATTCTCTCATAGACGTCCGTAGGCTTGACAGGATGAGGTCATCGTTTGTGGTATATTTCCATACCTTACTGCAAGGTTAAACTCCAAAGTTCATAACTATATTTCCCACTTACCACAATTTCGGTTGAGGACTCGATCAGTACTTTGTGTCTAGCCTCTGATCCTTGTTCTATTATACGAAACGTTTTAAGAAGCAGTAAGACAACAAATAGAAAAATCGCTTAGCCTCATGCTTTCAAATGCCGAACTTATCCTATCACTGAATAACTTAAGGTCAGAGGTGTATAACCTCCTCAATCGGTGGGCTTTTCGTTATAGAAAATAGTACTACTCATTTGGTAGATCTGAAGATAAATCATACAAACCATTTTGAAGCTACTATGGAAGCTAACACCGTTTGGATCGTATATATCGCGCCTATGACCATTTTTATGTCATGTCAAGCGTTCCTCATTATTCTTCAGTAATAGAAAGCTCCTTCCTGGTTAAGCAACTGTGCATCAGAAGCTGAATACAGCAAGCTGTCTCTGAAACCTGATACGCACTAGGCTGGTGGCGAATTATCTTGTTAGATAACAATACCTCACTTCAAGATTATTATTAGTTATTGCGATATGAGATTCATCTTTACGGAGCCTTGCTATATGTATAACAAAAACTGGGGTTAAGTGAGTTTTGTTTCTTTGTATCTGCAG